GATGTAAGCACAAGTGGCATTTGAATAGATAACTGTCATTTTTCACTATGCTGTAAGACATGTCACAGGCAGGATCTATTTTTTTAAATGGAAATACTGTACTGGAAGTGGCATCACTGAACAATGACTCAGTATCAGATAAGAGATTAATATTATTAAATAATACAGTCATCCCAGTGGAAATGGCAGTCAATTGAATGTCTGGGACTGAAGTAGCACTTGTATGGCAGAATTAATTGCACGAGCTCCTGTGTATTTATTAGACCAGTAATTTTCCATTTCAAAGCTGATAATACATTTCAGAATAAAAGTACTTAATGAGTCCCATCCTATATCTTTCAGGGACAGTATTTGGTATACTTGTTTTATAACCAGTAATCGTGACACATAGGGAAAATTATATCAAAACTCCACCATATTTTCTGCAGAATATAGCAGAATTTTATGTGTACGCTAACTGGTATAACACTTGTATAATTTCAGATTCCAACTCTAGGTTTGAAATGTGACAGCTGAATTACTCTTTAAATTTTCTAAGCTTTCTGCTCAACAATAGAAATAATTCTCAAGCTCTAAGACTAGTTAAATATATCCATAATAATGAAAGAGGACTGCAAACAAAGAAAATTATCAGCAAAGCAAAATGCTTTGATTTTACTTCAAATGTTAAGAAGATCTTTCATTCTAAGGTTAAAATCATGCCTTATTAGTATTGCTCTTCCCAGAGATTCTGTGAAACATTTATATTTACTCTACTAATAACTGAAACATCTATCAAAAAATTTAAACAAGGGGCTGGGGATTTAGCTCAGCGGCAAAAGCGCCTGCCTGGCAAGCGCAAGGTCGTGAGTTCGGTTCCCGGTACCGGAGAAAAACAAAAAAAAAAAAAAAAAAAAAAATTTAAACAGATGCAGTTTTTAATCACAAACAGGTGATAGGAATATTTTAACTAGAGTGACTGATTTTTACTCTTTATTAATCCTAACATATAATTTTTAATTATCCCCTTAGATAATTACTGTTCATCATTAAAATGTCCCACAAAGGCAAGATGGCATTTTTAAATTTTCCATATATTTAAAACTAAGTATCCATACAAGTACCCATACTCCAATTTGATAAGTAGGAAAGCACGTTACTAAGGCAGGCCAATTTTTCCAATGTTGTAGTCACTAATATACATTAATAGTGAGTGGTTGGAGGTAGTTTTCCATGCTAACAACTCATGAAATAAGCAAAGCAGTCAGCAATGAAAAAGTCAGCAATTAAAAAGCCTGCCAACTTGTAACAACACAGATAAGAACTCAAAATAAATCATGTAAAATACACCAAAAAATACAGTATTTCTCAGAGTCATCAGGACCCTGACTACACTTTAAGAATTCCAATATTCTTATTTAAACATGTACACTTAGAAAAATGCAGTACTAAAGAATTGGGCTGGGGATTTAGCTCAGCGGCACAGCACCTGCCTGGCAAGCTCAAGGTCATGAGTTCAATTCCCGGTACCGGAAAAGAAAAAAGAAAAAAGAAAAAAAAACAAAAAAGAATAAAAAGGTACCTACACAAAAAAATCACTATTATTAACTAGAATAGAACAAAGCTTGAAATAGATGTAAATAAGAGAATATTTTCACAAGTTCTGGTACTTTCAATAGCAGGAATATTATGAAATCATTAAAATGCATTATGTAGATCATAACTTTTTTATTACAAAATTTTATCTACAAAAGGAACACTTTCTAACTCTTTCTATGAGGTCAATATTACCCTGATATCAAAGCCAGACAAAGATACAAGAAAATGAGAGACCATTATCCTTTATAAATATAGATGCAAAATTCCTTGCAAAATTTATAAAAACAGAAGGATTAAATACCATGACAGTTAGGACTTATTCTAGGAATAAAAGGGTAGTTGTTAAACATATGAAAATCAATCACTACAACACTCCTAATTTCATTAGTAGATAGAAATTTACTCAATTCTCTTGATAGAATGAACAAAGAAGACTTTGACACCGAAAAATGCAAAATATCACTGAAATAAATTAAAGAGACATGAAGCTTATCCATCTCATTTGCGTGGATTGGAGTATTTAATATTGTTAAAGTGGCATATTCCCCAATGCAATTCAGATTCAATGCATTTCTCTCAAAATTCAAACTGCCTTTTTTGCAGAAATGAACAATCTAATCTAAAATTCATATGGAATTACAGCAGACGCCCCTAAAGCCCAAAAATCTTTATAAAGAAAAACAAAATGGGAGAACTCATACTTTCCGAATTTCACAATTTACTACAAACCTGCAATCGAAAGTGTTATAATGGCATAAGGAAGAACATGTATATTAAGGGATAGAACTGAAGAGTTGAAAAATAAAACCATATCCAACAAGGTGCCTCCTACAACTTTGTCTGCAACTCTGTTTTGTTTGTATTGTTCTTATGCAATTTTGTGAATGGATGTCTGTCTGTTAATATGTTTTCCTTCTTTTATTTTTTAATATAAAAAAAAAAAATTTAAATTTAAAAAAAAAAAATCAAGGTACCCAGACTATTCCATGAGGAAATAAAAACAGTCTTTCAACAAATGCTGCTTCAACAACTGGAAATCCACACTCAAGAGTTACAAATTTGTACCCCCTCATCTCCCATCGTAAACAAAAAGTAACTCAAAATGCACCTAAGACCTAAATGTAAGAACTAAAAACTCTGGAAAGAAATAAGTGAAAATCTCCATGATCTCAGACTAGACAATCTTTTTAAAATTATATCATAAGCACAACAAAGAAAAAGTACATAAATTGGACTTTTCAAAATGCAAACAATTTGGATGTTAAAAGAGACTTTCAAGTGAAAAGATAATCTATGGGATGGGAAAATGGATCTTTGCCAATAATGTATCTGAAAGGGGTTAGCAGATAGAATACAGAAAGTTAAAAAGAACACAATTACAAAGTAGGCAGGGGATTTAAATAGTTGCTTATCTAATTAAGATATAAAAATTGCCAATAAGCACATGAAGAGATATTCAACACCATTAGTCATAAAAGAACTATAAACAAAAATTACAGTGAGACAGATACTACTTCACACCCAGTCAGATAGCTATAATCATGAAGTGCAGGCAAGGATGCAGAGAAATAAAAACTTTTATACATTGCTGGAAAAAACATAAAATGGTGCAGCCACTTTGGAAAACACACTGGCAGTTCCTCAAAAACTTAATTACAAGAGTTATCATATGACCTGTGATTCCACTCCAGGAATATATCCAAGAGAATTAAAAATATACACCCATATGGAAACTCATATCTGAATATCCAAAACAAATTTAAAATAGTCAAAAAATGAAAATTAAATAACTGTCCAGCAGCTCCTGAGTAGATAAACAAAATGTAGTGTTATCCACACAGTGGAATGTAATTCAGCCACAGAAAGGAATTAAGTACTATCACATACTACAACATGGATAAACCTTTAAAACATTATGCAAAATGAGAAAAGCCAGACCCAAAGGACCACATATTATGAGAGTCCATTTACATAAAATATCCAGAATGATAAATCTATAGAGAAAGTAGATTGGTTGTTGCCAGGTGACAGGGGCAGAAGGGAAAAGGGACTACAGGTTTACAGGTATGAGGTTCTTTGGGGAGTGAGATAAATATCCCAGAATTAGTGATGAGGTTCACATAACACTATTACTATCCTAATAATCTCTGAATTGTAAATTTTCTAAAGCTTAAGATGGTAAATTTTACTTCAAAAATTATAAAATTTCATCCAAATCATGTTTATAACTGTACAGAACAGATGAAATAGTGAAAAATATAAAAATAGAGGGATTATGAAGTTTTTCTTTTTAAAGACTTCAATTTCAGTGCAGCATTGTTTATACCAAAAAAATGAAGCCAACATAAAACCCAATTATTGGGAAACTAATTAAATAAATTATGATGCAACCATAAAAACTGAGATGTAGGGGCTGGGGATTTAGCTCAGCGGCAAAAGCGCCTGCCTGGCAAGCGCAAGGTCGTGAGTTTGGTTCCCGGTACCGGAGAAAAACCAAAACCAAAAAAAACAAAACAAAAACTGAGATGTATTAGCTGAAAAAAAGCACATGACCAAACAGAGAGTGAAGTATCATCATATTTACATATGCAAACATATATCTGTATAAACTCTTAGTGGTAATCACAGTAGCGTGGTTTTGGAAACGACTTTCAATTTCATGCTATTCAGTATTGGTACTTCAATAAAAATGAAATTTTTTGGTACTTTAATAAAAATGAAACTAATACTTGATTCTTTTCTAGTTCAAGTTGTTTGATGGCTTTCAAACACAGTAAGTATTCAAGTTTACCTGTTGAATAAAACATTTGCTGTACAGAAGGAAAGCTTCTGTAAATGTTATTGTCTTTTATAACCAGAAAGCGGATGCTGCAATTGATCTACATTTTCTGATAACACTCATTATAATGTAGCATTTTCAAACAATTTGCCACAAGGCCATTGTACATGATATATATGCCATGAGAAGAAAAATATCAGGTGAAAACATCTCTACAGATGAGAAGAATACAAAATAAGAGACTACATTGCAGTTCCGATAGCAAAACCAAACATTATATTCATGGTAATAGTGGTTTATGGTATTATACATGTAACATGATCCAAATATGTGTACTATCAAGGACATAAAGGTTATTTATTACGAAGTAGAGAGAATAAACATGTTTAGACACATGGATAGGAAAGTATTTATATTGTAGAAGAAAATCTACAAAAGGAAATCTGTAGCACCAAAACCTTAAACACTACACTATTTTTGCTAATACACATTTCATCTAATTATTGACATTAAGACATACTGTTAAAAAGGTTTCCAAATCTGGAGATACTAGAGAAACTTGGAAGTAGGGATGAAATAACAAAAGATGAAATATCAAACAAATATTATATAGTAATTATGTCAATAAAAGAAAACAACCTACCTGCCATTCAAACTCACTATCTGACCAATCCCAGTAAGTGCTGATAGAAGAAGAGACATCACTGCAGACACTGCCCTCAGGGAATAAATCAAAAGACGTGAATTCTTGATCATCTAACAGAGAATAGCAATCATCTTGATCTCCAACAGAAACTGAAGAAAACAGTTCCTCACTGCATTCTGAGCTGGCAACACTTGTTCCACAAGAAGTTAGGTTCCACCTTCAAAAGCACAACACAAAAGACATCAGCACATCAACTACAGAATTCACACAATTTGAAGATACTAGTGTTAATTTAGTCTCATAAATTTATGACATTTATGAGAAATGTAGATTATTTTTTAAAAGTCATTACCATTACTTTTAAGGAATACATTAAAACACTAATGAATAAAATGCACATGTCTGGGATTTGCATCAAAATAATAAGGGATCGGGGAATGAATTAGGAATATAAAGCATCATGACATACATTTAAAAGAAAGATATATTTAAATTAGGAATAGATTAGAACTTTCATCCTTAAACGAAATATATAGCACAGTGGCTGAGTAAGTTCTGGTGCCAGACTCAGTTCAAAGTCTTGCTTTGTCATTTGCTAGTTATTTGATCTTAAGCAAATCCTAGCCTCTTCAAGCCTATGTTCCCATCTTTAAAATGGAGTTATTGTAAAGACTATATGCATAGAGACAACTTAGCACATATAAAAAGTGCTCAACGCATGGCAGCTATTATTAAATCAAAGGGTGAGAGGAGCCATTTTAGGGCAGAGAAAAAAGCACCCGAACCCTAACCCTAAACGTAACTCTAACCCAGCTATAAGTTCAAGAAGTAGTTTATATATTTAAATAACTTATACATTAATGTTATACTTGTTCACTGAAGAGATGCTTGAATGACAAAGGTGTGAAGACGACTGAAATGACCGATAATTCTGTTATTCACTAGTAACTAACCCATAACATTTTGGTCTGTTTTTTTCCCGGGCATACATATTTTTTATGGAATAGACAATCACTGTGTGTATATTTATTTTACTATCCTGCTTTTTCATTTAACATTATATAATGAACATTTTCTTAAGTACAAGTTGAGTTTTCCTCATCTGGAATGCTTAGGATTAAAAATGTTTCTTAATCAAGTTTTTTTTTGGACTTTGGAATATTTGCAAATATATGAGATATCTTTAGGATGAGATCCAATACCAAATATGAAATCCAAGTATGTTTCATATACACCTTATACACAAAGCCTGAAGGTAATTTTACATAATATTTTTAGTGCATATGAATTCTGACTATAGTCCATAAAATAAGGTCAAAATGGGATTTTCCACTTGTGGTGTCAATTTGGCATTAAAAAAATTTCAGATTTTGAACTTTTGGATTTGGGATGCTCAACCTGTATATTACTTGAAAACATTTTTGTGCCTGTATAATATTCTATCTGTTGAATGGATCATAACAATTTAACTTTTCTCCCAACAATAGATAATGTAAGCTGTTTCTCTGTATTACATATAACACTGTGATGATCTTTTTGTTTATAATTATTTATCCAAATATAAATTCTTTAAGGATAGACTGTTAAGTACTGAGTCAAAAAATAAGAAAACTTCCAAGGGTCTTGGTACATTGAGACAGATACTTTTTAATTTTTATTTTATGTCACAGTGAGAGAGAGAGAGAGAGAGAGAGAGAGAGAGAGTGTGTGTGTGTGTGTGTGTGTGTGTGTTATTGGGGACAGATCCTCAAGCCTTCAGATTGAGCTGTATCCCCAGCACTTTTTTATTTTTTCTTTTAAAACAAGGTGTCACTAAGTTGCCAAGCTAGGCTCAATCTTGCCATCCTCCTGCCTCATCCACTTAAGTGTCAGGGTTAAGAGTGTGCACCACTTGCATGGATTAGTCGAATACTTTCTAAAATTTTATAAAAATGTTCATCTCAGGCTGTGTCCAAATCTCAGTGTTACAACACTTGCCTAGCAAGTAGAAGGCCGCGGGTTTAATCTCTAGCACCACAAAACAAAAATAAGAGTTCATCTCACCACAACCTTTACAGCACTTAAATTTTTATTTTAAAAATTTTTAGCCTATTTCCTAGAACAGAAATATTTTATATAAATTTTTTTTTTTTTTTTTGAGGCAAGGTCTCGCTTTATAATGCAGGCTGGCCTCAAACTCAGTCATCCTCCTGCCTCAGCCTCCCAGGTGCTGGGATTACAGGCATGTGCCACCACGCCCTGCTGTTTATTTTTGTGATTACTAGCAAGATCAAACTTTAATATACGTATTAGCTATTTTTGTTATGTTTTTCTTCTATGTGTTGTTTTATTTTTGATAAGTTCATGCATTAAGCGTATTAACATTTTGTAGTATTTGTTACAGGGACTTGGGGGTTTTTTTACTTTTGGTCTTGAAATCTATCGATCTATTTTCTTTTGTAAATTTCCACTAATTTTATACTATTAATGATGTTATTTTCATTACTTTACCAGTACCACAGTGAATTAATCCTGAAGATAATGATTTCATATTTTTTAGCTTTCTATTTTCATTTTTTATTAGTACATGTTTGTAGTACATGCAATTTACAAGCTACTGAAATAATGACTTCCTGAAAACAAATCCTATTATTTACCTATTACCCGGTTGTTCCTCATTGTTCATTAAATCCAGGTTTTCTTGAATTATGTATTTTTTAAACTTCTTCCTTTACTTTTTGTGGTAATCTCACAGTCAGAAGTTAATGACGTATAATATATGGGCAACTTGAAAAATTTTGTGGTATCTTTCCTTTGAGTTGAAAGGACACCATTTTAAGGCACTGAAACACATACTATTTTGTAATTTGGTAAATAAAAAGGTGTCAATAAATTTTTATAAATCTAAAATTCATCTAAGAATTCCAGTATACTTTTAGTACTACTTAGTTTTATCACATGCTTGCGAGGGCAGGATCTTCATTTTCAAGAGAATAAATAAATCTAGGAGAATAAATCAAATTGCCCAGTCTTACAATAAAAGCTCTAAACACCAACCATAAGTTCTGTTTTGAACACAGTAAACCACTACACTATGTCCAGAACAAACTATTTTTTCTCTTGAGTCTTCCAATTTCATGTGACTTTTCTCTTTTGTTTATTCACCCATTCAGCAAATATTTAGTCAATACTTTCTATGGGCCAAGGAGTGGTTGCGAAGGGGGTAGATAACTGTTTTTAATTAGAATTTCTTTTCAGCTGGCAAAAGTTCACTGGAAATGTATTCCCTCCATGTGAAACAATGACATTCCTTTCATCAAACTATGTCACATTTAATAATCTAACCATTAGATCATTGGCAAGAGTCAAGAATTTGCCTTTACCTTAGGGTAAAATCAGTAAGTTATTCAGTTTTTCAGATTCATGACTATATAAGAATATTCTCGATGTTTTCAGAAGCTTTTAAGTTCTCTTTTATATTTACTGGCAAATAAACTAGGCTCACAGTTGAAACAAATCATTTACAAAATAGAAAAACAGTACTTTAACGATAAAAGATTTTAAAAAGTTCCATATATTCTAATTTGCAAATATGTTTATTATTTTAAGGTAAAATGGATAAAAACAAAGTAGGAAATACTTTTATCCATTTCTAGTGCGAGTGTAAGTGGACATAATCTCTCTGAAATGCAATTTGGTAGTATATGTGTACTACTAAAAGCTTAAAAAAATGTTCATTCCCTTGAACTCAGAAATTTCTCTTTTAAGAAATCTATTCTGTTCCTGAAATACATATCTGGAAATAATGATGTAGGAAGAAACATGTCTAAACAATATTATTTATAAATAACAAAAAAGAGAAAATAAATCACCACCAAACAAGAGGAATAATGAAATGATATAGCTCCATAATGGTACTTTATTAGTATTAAAATAATATTTTCAGACTATTGGAAAGCATTCAACAATGTTAAGTGAAAAAAGCAGATCACAAATACCTTGATTTTTAAACTAATCTTGATTTTCAAAAATTATATAGATTGAGTATCCCTCGTCCAAAAATCCAAAATACAAACTGCTCCAAAATCAAGAAATGGCAACTTGACACAAGTGGAAAATTCCACTTTGACCTTGTGTGATGGGCTGCAGTCCAATATAGATAAGCTAAAAATATTATATAAAATTACCTTCACGCCATTTGTATAAGGTACATATGAAATATAAATGAATTTTGTATGTAGACTTCGACCATATCCCAAGACACCTCATTATGTAGATGCAAATATTCCAAAATTCAAAAACAATTCTGAATTGCAAAACACTTCTAGTTACAAACATTTTAGGTAATGGATATTCAACCTGTATCTCTCCTAGAACAGTAAAAAAACATCAAAGTGTTGACAGTTGTTACCCCTAAGAAAACAAATTATGCGTGGTCTGTCTAGGTTTTTTATATACCTCCTATTTTCTAGTGAAAAATTTAAGGGTAATTCTTTTAGACTACTCTAACAGCTTCAAACTGTCAATGAATATTCATCCAGTATATGTTCAGCACTGAAGAATTAAGATGTGTTATATACAAGCACCAACGCCCCACAAGCAATGTAAACATGTACTGCAAACATGTACTAATAAAGAAATTATTTAAAAACCAAATTTACAAGCCCTTCCATCTTATTCCAGTAAGAGAAAATCATCTCTTAACACTAAAATTCTAGCTATAATTGTAACATTGCTCTTAAAGGAAGCACTCCAAAACCTTTAAAGAAATACATTGACTAAAACTCCAACTGAAACGGTATTTAACTCAGTAACTAAGCTTGTTGCCTAAATTTTAATTTAAAACATAAAGCAAATACTTCCTTGCAAGGCTTTTTAGGAAGAAAACACAATCTAAGGACCTTCAGTAGTGCTTTGATAAGCAGCCACTTTACTGTTAAAATTAAGAAAAGTGAACATGACGCACACATTTCTCTGTAGCTCCTTCCTATTACAACTGGACCTAACAACTGCCTCTTGGGATGAGAATCCAGCCAATGAGCACTTCTGAATAAAGTCGTAACTGTCAAGCTGAGGAAAGTCATTCCAAATCCATGCTATACGTGCATTCTTAGGGGGCGGACCCAGTCATAACTTGCATTCATCACTGACTTCTTACCAGAATCCCCACATAGCCACCCTGACCTCCTCTAGAATCCAAAAGGCAAACCCTCAAGGTTTCAATATAGAGCATATGATATACCCTGCTATTTTACCCACCTAAATTCTCTATTGTCCTCCCAAGTACTGCACCTGTCGAGATCATTATCCATCTTTTCTACCTCCCATACTGTTTTGGAAGTAAAGAAATGCTTTATGTCATTTCTAAGGCTAATTTTCACATTTAGGTATGGAGTTCTGAGTTCTCATTTAGGTTCTGAGTTCTTCACCACAATGTCCTCTCATCTCTAGCACCCTCCCCGCTTCACTTGGAGACAAATCTTGCTAAATCACTAAATTGCCCAGGCTGGGCTCAAACTTGCCATTCTCCCGCCTCCGAGTCCCAAAGTTCAGGGGTTATTCAGGGATTACAAGTGTGCTCCACCACACCTGCTCCAAATCTGTATTTCTAGCATGAGAATTTCTCTAAAGCCTCAACACCAATTCTTAACTTTCTTCAACAAGTGCCTAAACCAAATTCCTTCAGTATGGTTCTCCGATCTGCATCCCAAAGCTCTTCTGTACCTCCAGTTCTATACCTGCATAAGAAAAATTATAGATGGTACAAAAGACAAACAACAGAGCCTGGAGCTATAGCTTAGTGGTTAACGTGCTTCCCTAGCATGTGTGAAGCCATGATTTGATTCCCAGTGCCACACACACACACACACACACACACACACACACACACACACAGAATGGTCTTGGGATTTTTCTGATGAATGATGACTGAATATAGGGCTCTAAAAAATCTCATAACTGAGTAACTGACTTACTCAATAATTTATTTCATATCGTGCCAATAGGGTATAAAAGAAGTAAGGCACTGTCCTCCTACATACTTTTCAGTTGTTTACTGTCAAGGTACTGATGTACTCCCCCAAAATAAAGAGAATACCACAGCTGGTAGTTAATATTAACTTCTTCCATCTCACAATTTTATCACAGGACCTGGCAATGTCATGAATTTTTCAATTTGCTAAATCCCATCCCTTTTTGGTGGTGGTGGTAGTGATTGCAGTAGAATGGCAAGTGTACAAACTAACCCCTGATGGAAGTGCTACGAACAATCTCCAGTTATAATCTCCAATTATATCAATCAATTATATCAATCTCCAATAATCTCCAGTTATATCAGAAACATCCTGTCCCCAAATCCACAAAACAATGTCTTACACTCATACACTCATTCACATATATATATATAAATATATATACACTGACACTTAAGTTTAAGAGTATTAATTTTTGTCTTATTAAAGTTTATTCTATATTCCCAAAAGTCTAGACAAGCCTAACTAGATCTTAAAATTCAAAAAGACACCTATAGCAAAATGTGATTTTTTTTTTTTTTTGAGACACTTTCTGACTATGTTGCCCAGGCTGGTCTTCAACTAACTCCTGGGCTGAAGCAATCCTCCCTCATCCTCTAGTAGCTGGTGCTGTTACTACAGCTTTGTACCACCTCATTACGCTGGAAAGTATGAATTCTTTAAAAACTGGTTATGTAGCTGGGTTTGGCAGTACTGTACATGTCCATAATCCAAGCACTCAGGTGGGCTGAGGCCAGAGGATCACAAGTTCCATAAGGATCACAAGTTCACAGCCTGGGCTATATATAGCTAGTTCAAAGCCAGTCTGGGGTACATAATAAGACCTTGTTTCAAAAAACCTAGTTATGTCCATGTAATTTATTTTCTACTGAAGCTAAATCTAGGCGGCAGGTAGTTCTACGCTGAATGTTACATGAATTCAACCATAGAGACCATCAGTATTAGTACTGTAGCTTTCTTGCTTAAGAGAGACTGCAAATGTAGCCCAGAATCCAGCAAATGAGCAGGCACAAAATTGTCCTCACTACAAGGCTCGTATCAATGGCAGTATTTAAACAGTCTTCGTGTGTTCTTATCTGGTAACAAAAATGAAGCAACGTACAGAAAGGTTAAACCAAATACTGCATAGACCCACTAACAACCTCTCGACTCTCAATAAAATGTGTTTTATAATGACTAAACACAAAACAAAATTTTATTATTCAACTACCCATATCTGATTTTTGAATTGTTGCTTGAATTGGCAAATGATGTGATGTGAAGAAAAAAGTGACACATATAACTCCGAAATAAAATAAGCCCCTAAATTAACTTAACCCCCAAATATGATTTAGCTGTTTGCTCCTCCCTGAAAAGAAATGGCTTAAAGCACATGGTTCTCTCCAGTACCATCGTGAGAAGGGATAAGAAGGCAGAATACGGCAGGAGAAAACAAGTTTTTCAAAAAGGTGGTCTAGGGCAGAAACATCATCTGCTGTAACTACTGCCAATTAAGTTTTCTGCTGAAACGATATCCCCTGCTCCCATTCCAAGCCTTGTGAAAAGTAGGGTTAAAAAAAAAGGTTTTAGAAGGGGCTGGGGATTTAGCTCAGCGGCAAAAGCGCCTGCCTGGCAAGCGCAAGGTCGTGAGTTTGGTTCCCGGTACCGGAGAAAAACCAAAAAAAA